TTGGGGGGCCGGGGAACATGGCCCCCAAATGTTGGGGGTCAAAGGGGGGTTTTCCCGGGTCCCGGGTTGGGCCCCCCCCCAGGGGGGGGGTTTTTTTCAAGGGGGCCCCCCGGGGCCCCCCCCCCTCCCCCCGGTTTTCCCCCTAGGGTCCCAAAGGGGGGTTCAAATTGGGGGGGGGGCCCCTTGGGAAAATTTTGGGAAAAAAAATCCGAAGGTTGGTTTTTTTTTCCCCCCCCCCCCCCCCCCCCCCCCTCGTAGGGAAGGCTCAGTAGCATTCGCAGGTTTTCGGAAACATGCATGCAATCGGGGAAGTTGGGATAAGCGTTAGGGATGTTCGCCCCGCTTGTTTATCTTGCGTCAAGCGTTGTGGGAAATATTGTCGTCGTGTGGCGTTCGTCGACGTTGATAGTTGTCGCCAAGACTTACTTCACTACACCTGATGCCGGGTCCAAGCTCTCTGTCCTCCTGCCCGAATTCACGCGTGCGGATTGACCAACACACGTCATTACTAGAAGCGAAAAAGGTATGCCTGGTGTTTGTGTGAGCATTGAAGTGCCGTATCGCGCAGCTTAACACCCGCTTTGTGCTGCTTCTGCCGCCGTTCTCGTCCCACGAACGGACGCGCCCAGGACGTGCGGGAGGGTGACGTGCGACGATTGTTCCTCGAAGCGCATCAGAGGGGACCGGACGTGCTTGCTGTGCTGGGACCGGATAGGGAGGAAGATGTCCGGACTTGGCCTGCCCTCCAACGACGACCGGGCCGCGGCTGGCGCCGCTGGCGCCGCTGGCGCCGGAGGCGTCCGCAAGTCTGCTCTGTTTTCGCTCATTGAGGTGAGGGTCGCGTTGCCATGGTCTTGGCTGGGTGGGGAGTCGGTTGGGGTATGCGGCGGGTTGGTTAACCTCGCCATCGGTGACCACAAGTGGGCAAGGGATCCCACGCCGTTGGTGTGGTACGCAGCGCTCTTTTTTTATTAGGTGCTCGGGATAAAGAACAAACGCCGCGGGGTCTCTTACCAACGCGCTCGTGATTGTTATTTTGCTTGGCAAAGGCAGGGTCTTGCTTGTTTCCTCCGCCCCGGACAACAAGCACGAGTTGCCGCCCGTGCGCCTTACGCGATGTGTTTTTTTCCGCTGCCCGCCTCCTGGCGTCGCCACACCATCGCGTATCGCGTTGCGCACCCCCCCCCCCCCCTGACAGGAGGAGCGCTACAACCGCAGTTTCGTCCGGGCCGACGGCAAGACTGTCAGCTACTCCGTCGCCGGGGTTCCGGACGGACTTCCGGTCTTCCTGTTCCTGGTAAGGGCGCGAAACGACTATCGTATCTCGCGGCTACGGCTTCAGAGATGAAGTTATTATTTTAAGAGAACGCCGGATCTAAGAGAGTGTTGTTGGCTTGTCCCAGACGTGTCTTAAACCGTAGCCAGAATCGACCAGTTCGCTCGCGCGGGACGAGCTGTTGGCGAACGTGGAGCGTTGGGGTGGCACCGGGGCATGGGCGAGCCACGCGGGGAAGGCGGGGATGCGTGGGAGTTACAGCACAGCATCCGTTTTTTTTTTGCGTTTTTTTTGTCGTCTCGGACTGGACAGGTATTGTCTTCGGTGTGTACCTGCCGACGGTTTCGGATCACGTTTATTAGGCGTTCTCTCCCTCAGCTGGTGTCGCAAAGCCGGGGTCACACGCAAGATATCATCTCCGAGAATACCTCGGTTGTTATTTTCCTGTGATGCACGCGTGCGCGAGAAATCGTGACGGTGACTCTACCTTTTGTGTATCTACATACATGGAATGATGTTTTCTCAATGCCCTCGTGACCGCGCACGACGGCGGCGCAGTTAACGCGCGCGGGCATAAAAACCCCTCATTTTTTTCTCAACCCCACGTTGTCGTCACCTCCTCCTGTTGGTCGTTGTCGCAGGGCCTCGACTCTCACAGGCACTCGGCCGCCCACTTCGAGGACATCGCTCGCCGCCGGGGCCTGCAGCTGATCTGCATCGACAGGCCCGGGAGGGGACGCTCCGATCCCATACCTGTCCCGGAGGTCGATGCCGAGGCGGGGGCCGAGGTGGACGTTCAGGGCTTGATAACGGAAGCGACGGAAGCCGCCGTGGTCGACACGATCAAGCAGGCGAGCAGTTTTATCGCGGAGGGCCGGCCGGGGGCGGCGTGGTGTGTGCCTTCGGCTTTGCATATTGAATTGAAGTTTTTGCGCGGGTGAAGCTTTTGTGAATTTTGTCTTTTTCGGCGCTGCTCTTTTGTAGGCTCGAAGGGGCTGCGGAATTCCTACGGAAATCTTCGGCATATCTGGCTGTTTGCGTGCATTGTCGAGACACGGCATTGCGTTCAGTCGAGAATGCGCACCTATCTTTGCATAGAGCTTTTCTGTTTAGTGTATTCTCTCGGGTGTGTCGTGCATTGGTCACTCTAGGATCTAGCGTTCCAGCAGGCATGGTCCAGCGACGTTTTGGTCCCGTGCCCGAAGGAAATCGCGGTCGGTTGGTGATTCAGTTTGCGTGCTCGTAGCTGGTTATCCTAGCTTTCAGAGCTGGGCACACAAGGTTGGGGTACTTACAAGAATTATTCACACCACGTTTTCACTCGGTGTCTGCTTCAGCCATGGTTCCAACCACTTGTGACTTTCCCCCAGACGGCGGAGAACATAAATGCAACAGTACCACTTGTGGTTTCCTTGGGAGTATTTGCAATGCTAGGGACAGCAATCATTCAGACAGAGGTGGAGCTGCGTCTGGTGCTTTCCTTGCGCCTCCCGATGTGGTGCCCCTGTTTACCCTCGTGTGATGCGACTTTCCCTGGCAGCAGAGAGCAGGTTGGCCGACGGGTGTAAAGCGAACAAAGCTAACCCGTGCTTCACGACGTAAGTCTTCATTCTCTGTGCGTGCGCCGTCTGTTGTGTCGGCAGCTGTGCGCAAAGCTGCGGATAGGGAAGGCGGCAATGGTGGGGCAGTCGGTCGGGGCGGTGTTCGCGATGGACTGCGCCCGAAATGAGGAGCTGAAGGACGTCTTCGAAGGCACTACGGTGTGCCTGGTGTCGCCGTGGGTACCGCTGGCAGCTAGAGGTAAGCACGAACGCACATCCTGCACCACCGCAGTGGTGGGAAACACCTTCTATGGCGGGTTCGATTCTGTACCGAGTATCAGGATACATGGCACGTCGGTAGTTAACACACAAGTGGATTCTGAATCAGATTTGCCCCGTAGGTGACATGAGACAACACGGTAACCACTTGTTTATGTGGCACGTACGACTCTATACGGAGTATCAGCATATAGCCCATAGGTACAAATAGTTCACACAAGTCGGACTCTGAATCAGATTAGCCCCGTAGGTGACGCAAGATAACGCGCGTCGGTGATAAATATGTCTCCAAGCGACTAAATAGCCTAAATATTCCAAACGATGCGGGGTGCCTTCGGCATTATCGTCTTTCGTGTGATATCACCGTAATACCTGATCCGAATGTGTGGGGGTGATGCTTTTTTCATGGTTGGGGTGCATTCTGAGCCGGAGCGAAACTACCACCTGATGTGGCATTCTTGAGTAGTGTGCAGGGGGTGTGGTAGCTTCGTTGGGAGTGGTATCCTGTGTCATCTACCGCACTGTTGTTGAGCCTGCGCCCGCCTCTCCTCTGCAAGCTTCTGAACATGTTTTTTTGTCTCTTGTTTCATTTTTTTTTTCCTGTTGTTTTTGAGCGGGACGCACGTTGTGGAAGCCTACCTAGGGTTCATCTGCGGCCTGGCCTCGTAAGCGGTGACGACTCCCGCTACGAGTGTGATGCTTCGCTTTCATCCCAGACTTGTCTCCATTCCGTCTGTTTGCGTGTCTTTGTATCTGTGCGTCTTGCTTCTGTCTGTCTGTGTTGTCTTTGCCAACGGTGTCTCTTTACCTCTTTTTTCCCGTCTGTTTCCGCCCGGTCCCTTCCCTTCCCTTGCCGCTTCGAAAGGGTGCAACACCTTCCTCCAGAAGGCGTCCTCTATGCCGGCGCTGACGAGCACCGTCGGCCGTCTCGGCGGCGAGATGATGGTGAAGCAAGTTGGGGACATGGCGAGGGGGTCTAGCGGGGCCAGCGAGGTGGAGAAGGGCTACTTGGAGGCACCGTACACGCAGGTGATAGAAGTATACTTAAGTATGTTTATTTGCTTCCCGCCATGAAGAACCCGTCTGTGTCCTCCAGGGTATTTCTTTTCGATGTACTCCGTTTGCCTCGAAAGGTTATGTTGGGGTACCCGAAGGCACCCTTTTCATTAGTACTTGTTTGTGTTTTCCGATACGATGTGTGTCTTGCGGCCACCATGCCGTTTTTCTTTTTGGTTCACGCGGTTTCCTTGAAGCGCCTTCTTTTCGAGAGCTTCCCCGAGCAAAGGGAACGGCACACGCACAGCCAGTCACCCTTACGAAATACAAACAGCCATACTTGGTTACCGGAGTAACAATATCCTCTTGGACCGAAAAAGAGGTGATGTTTTTTTTTTTTTTTCCTGCTGCTTTTGGTTGTCCAGTCCACCGACATATCATGCACTGGACAGCGACCACGGCACACGGCAGGTCATGCTTGTCAAGTCGAAAAGTAGGTTGGAATATCCTTGCTCTAGCTTGTATGTGCTCGATTTGTGCACTGCGTGTAATCGCCTTACCATGTCTGTGTCCGCCTCCTCCCCTCTCGTGAGAGAGCTGCAGGAGATCGCTTTACGTGCCAACGCAAGCATGCGCCAGGTCCCACTAAACATAATACAGGTTGTAAAATAGGCATAGAAGAGTGTTGCTGTCTCCCTTGCTACGAACCCCCCCCCTCCCCCCGTTTTTGGCCTACTATCCGTCTTACTGTATGACTTATACGCGCGCAAGGCCTCCGTGTTGTACGCTGCAAGATAAAGGTATGCCATTGAAGCGGGCACACGGTATTGCATGACTCGATTCATTGCTTTGGGAGACGCAATCCCCATGCCCTTGTGCATTGAGGTGTGGAGTCTCTATCGCAGACACAGCGTTTGTTTCACCGCTGCGTGTTGTCCCTCTCCTTGCCCCCCCGTTCTCCGCATCAGGACCTGATCAAACACGTGTCCGGCCTTAAGGAAGGGAAGGGGTCCATCAAGAACGAGGTATTTCTTGCCCTGCACAACAAGGGGCCGGAAGAGGCCATGGAGCGGTGTACGGGGGTCATCCACCCCGTCAAGATATGGCACGGAAGGTGCGGTTCATCGATAATTGTCGTCGTCTTGTCGTTGCTTTTTGTTGTCGTCTTGTCGTCGTCGTCGTCGTCTTGTGTTTGTTGCTGTTGTTGTCAGTAGCGTTGGGGTGCGAGGGGCTGCTAGTGTCGTTGCTTCCCCTCCGCCTCCATACCCCTTTTTTTGTCGTCCACCAGCACGCGCGTATGGCCGTGCTCGTGCAAGTACGGAAGCGCCCGAGCCGCGTGATCTCCACGTAGCGGCCTTGCAGCAGATGGATTAGTCAATGGTTATTTTTCTTTTTTTTGAACGGTTGCTCTTTTCTTCGATTGTATCTATATTTCAGAAGTATCCCCGACTCGGTAGGCGAGACTCTGATGGAGGAGGGTAGGCACGTTCACACCTCTGGATGTCAAGACGTTGCTGGTGTGATGTGATGGCTGCACTCTAATCCACGCCGAGATGCTTGCGGACGCGCTTTCTGTACACACCTTGGATTACATGTTGTCGCCCCGCTATTCTACGTAATAACGTCCAATCGTTGGGCAGCAAGTTACCGTATGCCACACAAGATGACACAGCCACTAGGCCGATTTTCAAAGCTGGATTACGCCACGACGAAGATGCATAAACGCAACCATTCATTTTTGGAAAGCTCTGGACGAGACGGCTTCAATGCCGCCATTTTCGGCTTTGACTCTTTCTGCTGTTGAGAAATCGAGCTTTGACAATCTGTCCAGGGTGTGTGTTATCTTGTGTGGTATACGGTAGTGTGGTCGATGAAACAATGCACACGCGCATCGTTTTATTGTCCGCCATCGGGGAACAATCGTTTTTCCTACTGACCCTGGCGTGTTATCACTGCTTGGCGGCGTCATTGGAAGTGACAAGAAACCCAAACACGCAGAAACACAGGCACAGGCACAGCAGTGGTTGATTCGTGCCGTCAAACTCTGCGTGTCTCTGCCGACTCTCCTATCACAGGTCGGACCAGCTGGTGCCGTATGCGGCGACGAAGTGGCTCGAGCGCTCGCTACCGTCCTGCACGAGCGCGGTCATACCCGGGGGTACCCACGCGCTCGTTTACGACAAGGGAAGCATGGAGGAGGTCTTTACGGCCGCGCAGAAGGGGGTCCAGGAGGCCCGGGTAAGCAAGGAGCAGTGGAAGCGCAAGGTCTGCAGAGGAGCGCTTGTTTGGTCTCTTCGTGCTCGTTTTATTCCGGCAACATCTTGCGGTTTCTTCCCAAAACGTTTTTCAAAACCAACCGATTAAATGCGTCGTGTTTGACCGTCCTAATAGTGACCCGTTGCGTTTTTCGTGGTGAAGGATTGTTGTTGTTGTTGTTGTTGTTGTTTTTCTTCACATTAAACTCGTGTCAGTTGCTAATCCCAAAATCTAGTTAAGACTCGGCCCGTGGTCACAAAAATGCTAAAGCCATCAGAAGATCTAAAGAACACGCACACTATTGGCAAGAAAAGGGTACACAAGCCCAAGGAGGTACACCTACAATCCCTGCAGCACGTTTGCGTGCTCACAACTGAACTACACGCCCACACACTACAATTCGACTACACGCGGGGCGAGTGTTCAAGTGCCGCCACTCGCCCCGAGCCCGGCACCGGTCCAAAGCCCTTTCCTCTCCTCTTCCGTAACCTCGTTCCCCTGCCTGTTCAGTCTACCGCCCGTTTCACGGCCCGGCGACTAGGCAGCCAGCTGTCGTACGTGGCTTCGAACGTTTTCTCGCCGCGGGATGACACGTCCCCTTCGGCGGCGGCTACGGCGGCGGCGGCCGCGGGCGCGACGGCGGGCATGATGAGCCCTCGCTCCACCAAGAAGGTGGATCAGGTACGGCGGGTTCATGTACCCCCCCCCCTCTATTTGGTGGTCGGGGTAGGTTATTTTGTGCGTGGTCGAAAACCCCTTTTCCAAGCAACGGGGATGATCGCACCACGTTGTGTTAAAATGGTCAAGCGCCCTCGAGGCAGTTACACGGTGCTTATTATTGTCTCTGGAAGTGAAAGCACCAGAAATTATGTCCAGTCATTCGCAGACGTCATTCCGTATGCAAGGAAGTAAGCACAAGATGCCTAATACCCTTAGCAGGATGCAGCTCACCCTTCATGCGACTCGCCAATACCTCACGGCGCTTGGCGGTTGGTGATGTGAGAACCTGGTCCGGTGAGAACCCGGCGTGCTCCGTCCTGGCTTTGTAGGGATGCGAGGTCAATGGTCTAACGACCAGGGCATGCACGACTATGAGTACACCCCCCCCCACCCCTCTCTGTTTGTGTTGTTTGTACAACCGGCCGACGTCTTGGTTGTACACAAAGAAGAGAACGAAAATGGCGGGGCCGCTTCCATTATTGTTTTTGTTAGGCGAAACCCCCACCGCGTTACAGATCTCTGTTTGTTTGATTGATTCCGGCGGAATATCTCGCGTTACACTCGGTGTGGGGCACACATAGCGAGTAGGGAGCCGCCATTTCTCCGCCCCGCCTTTCTGCTCGTGTGTCGGCCAGTGTGGGCATCGTTCGCGTGCGAAGCTCCGTGCTCGGCACATACGACGTCGAGTTTACGTCTTTTGTCGTGGAATATACTCCGATTCAGGGATGCGACCGATGATACGGGCGACTGCCAAGACATTAATCGAGATTCGCCCCCGTAGGGTGGATAAGTCTTGACGTCATGTAGTCCGCGCTTTTTCAAGAATCCCGGTCGTATGAATGTGGTAGCTTTGGTTATGACGCGCGGGTCCTTGGGCCCGCTGGATACATTGACGATGTCGAGTTTACGTCATGCCTCACAGATGGAAACCACATGGCACTCTTCACTCGTGACGTTGATGTGCTTGCGCGCCTACAACGTACGCGCTGTTCTCTGCCATCGTACAGTACGCGTGTAGCGATGCGCTCGGCGGTTTGGTGTCGACGGACCTGCTCCGTGGTCATGCATGGGCTGTGGGCACACGCGGATATCGCACATGAGAGGCCACCAGAAAAACATTTGCGCACCCCCTCGTCTGGCACACCGCCCCTCGCAAACCGTGTTGACGCAGGCGACGCCGAGCGAAGTGACGGCGGTGCAGGAAGGGCAAGCTGCTGGCAAGAAGGAAGACCCACTAAACCTCCGAAAAATGGTCGCGAAGGCTATCTCGAGGAACGCCAGCGGCACCCCCGATTCCTCGGCGCACTCGCTCGCGTCCGCAGCGAACAACAGCCGCCACAACGCGGGGACGAACTGCGGCAGCAGCGGGCATGGCAGCGGCAGCGGGCACGGCAACGTCAGCGGGCATGGCAGCGGACACGGCGTCGTTGGAATGGGAAGCGGCCACGGAAGCAGTGGGCATAGCCTCAGCTGGCACAGCAACGGCGCGGGCGGCGGGGGCAGCGGCAGCGGCCACGGAACCGCCGGTCGGCGCCTGTCCGCCCTGTCCTCGTCAAGCACCGGTAGCCGGCACGGTCCCGGTAGCAGCCGTCATGGGTCGGAGTCGGCGCCGCCGCCTATCCCCGAGAACGGGGAGCTTGTCGGCACCCTGGACAGTTCCGGTGGGAGTGGCAGCAGCAGCCCCGCGGGACTGCTCGGCGAAATCGGGAAGCAGTTCAGCCTTGCTCTCAACGGGTCTTTCGGCCACGAGGGGAGCGATACAGGGGAGGCTTCGATGCCGCCGCCGCCGCCGCCGCCGGTGGCAAAGCCGAGAGATGCGGGGGCGACGGCGGAGAAAGGCCTTCAGGACACTTCGTCTCATTCGGAGAAGACCGGGGTGGGTCGAATGGCAGAGGGGTTGTTGAAGCAGCTCGACCGAGCGGTGTCCAGCATATCTGTTGGGGACGGCAGCGGCCACGGATCGGGGTGGGGTGGGAGCGTCAGCGCCGCTGGCGGAAGCGCCCAAGGGAGCGCGCACGGTAGCGTTGCGAGCGTCGGGGCGTTGGGCAGCGGCGTCGGTGGCGGCTCGCGGAGACCAAGTGGACTCGTTTTGCCCTGGTCTCAGCAGGACATGGATCAGGGGCGAGATGGCGGTGGTGGCGGCGGGGAAGACGAAGCTACCAATCTCGACGCCGACGCGAGTGGCGACAACCGCTTTGGGCGTGCCTTCACCGGTGCCGGTGCCGGCGGTGGCACGCCGCACTTGAACGACGGCGGGCGCGACGAATCGATGGGGCCGGCAGAACGCGCGTTTGCGGCCGCCTTCGGCGGCGGCGGTGCCGTCTGCAGCACTCCCCGCGTGACCTCACACCCGAAGCTGTCGTTCGGCACGCCCGTGACGGAACGCGTTGTCTCCACGTCGACCAGCGCTTCCGTCTACGGCACGCCGAGTCGGGTCACGCCGAGCGCGTCCGTCTTCGGCACGCCTCTCAGGGGTTTCGCCGCGGACACTGCCGGGCCCAGCGCCGGCAGCACCGCCGGCGGTAGCGGGCATGGCTCCGCAGGCCCCGTCCGCAAGAGCTCGTTCGCGATCGAGGGTGTGGTGGCGGTGGACAAGGTGGCGGGGTACGAGGCGGCGATGGCGAACTGGCCGGCGGGGAAAGTGGAGGGGAACCCCGCGTGGGAGGAGTGGAGCTCGGCGAAGAAGCTGGTGTGCCACCTTGTCACCGCGGGCTGTTTAGCCGTGATCGTGCTCACGTGGTGATGGTTGTGCGCCGTGGTTGTGGAGGGGAGAACCTCTATTTTTTCGTTTTGGCGATCTCGCTTGTGGCTGAAGTTATCGGGCCAGCGCCCCACGTGCTGAGAGATGGCAAGAGGCGCTGTGGTGGTTTTAATGTTCGGTTTTGACAATCGGTGCTGGCAAGGGGGACGATCCATCCCATGAGTGATTATCTTTGTGTTTGCTATTTGGTGTACGTGGAAAGAGAATGCCTTGACTTTTAAAGAAAAACTTACTACTGTCAGCGCATGTTAGTTATCTGTTACATACAGTCCTTGGTATTATAGTTGGTTCGGCCGGCGTGCTCACCGGAAATTCATATCTACAGCAGTAGGTTGGTGCAACAAGCAATGTGGAAGATTGTTCGTTCACGTGTTTGCCCGGCGATAGCAGCCACCGGCCGAAGTAGGCCCTGAGGAATTGAATGTTTCCGGAGGCGGTAGGATTCGTACTCGAGGTCTGTTAGGTTTCTTGTATGTCTTCGACCTATTTAGTTGTCGTGGGAGGCAGCCTACCGGCAGCTTTCCCCGTGCTCGACGTGTTCACGTGTTGTGCCCTCTGATGTGTGAGTGTTGGTCGTGTTCGCCTTGCATGGTGATTATTCGCGTCGTGGAAACACGGCACAGCAACAAACAGGGCATAAGCAAGCAGAGATAAGCAAGCAGAGCATAAGCAAGCAGAGCATAAGCATACCGTAACAAGACATGGCAGCGTCCTTGGCTTATATCGAATCGTTTTATGCATAGAAAAATTACTTCCGTTGTTGGGCACGTGTTTCATTGAATGTTGGGGAGGTATATTCACTCAGGGGTGCGCCGACCAGAGTATTTGCCTCCCGATTTGTTCCCTGCGTGTTTTTGGCGAAAGTCATTCAATTTTTGGGAAGCTGCCAACAGGCGGGTGGGGCATGTGTGTTGTTAGACGGGATGGGCGAAGGCTTGGGGCCGGTGTTGTTGTCATCAGACAAGTACCGTAGGTTGAGTAAGATATCACATCCCCTGGGAACGATTTTCGAAGCTCGGTACCTCGGCAGGAGAATCAGTGACGGTGCCGACAATGGCGGCATTGGAACCGTCTCGTCGAGAGCTTTCCGATAACAAACGTATACTGCAATTTCAGCATCCTCTTCGTCGTGGGGTAATCGAGCTTTGAAAATCGGTCCACGCGGTGTGGCATCTGAGGCAACCTAGGGTACCTTGCTGCGTCGATCGTGTGTGACGATTTTTCTCTGTGTTGTTGGGGGGGGTGTCGGTTAGCGTGGGCGTCCGGCGGCTTTGGAAAACTCCGAACATGGAACACCACAGATTGGGACATTTTTTCGGGGGGAGCCAGATCGTGGCATCGGTGGTTGTGGCTGCTTTTGTGCTTCATCTTTTGCTTGCTTGTCGTCGTTTGTGGTCGTCGCCCGCATCCATCCACCTTTCTACGGTCCCCGCGGTGACCTTGCGGAGAGAAACATGAGATCGACAGATGTAAGCGTGTTCGTTTAAGGGGAGATTTCATACGAAAGAACCTGATTTTTGCGAAATGGATTTTTCTTCCAGGTGTTACATGGCTTTGTTGTCTCATGTCTCAATTTGTTTTCGGGCTTGCTGAACGCCGTTAGGCATGGGCCTTAGAGGCCGGATCAAGCCGTTGCTGTCCTGACAGAACATTTTGATTTCGTCACGCCACGCAAACAAACCACGCAGTGATTGAGATGCGATGGACAAGCGCTTCCAACACGAAAACATCCCCTGTTGAAACCCCTCAGACCACGCGGCTCGCTCGGCAAACAGACCTCCTCACCTAGCACCAGCTCTATACAGAGGGCGAACAAGAGGCTATACTCCTAGTTCGAGAGTTTGTTACGTAAACACGATGCCACGGCACACCAGGGTACTCCTGTATACGCACGCCCAGTTACACACGGTAGGGTGAAAATGTTGGAGTTGAACTAGAGTAGAGCCACGGCCATGCAGTAGCTCGAAGATCCGGGAGTGAGCTTCACACACACGCGGACCGACTTCTGCGCAGTTGGTGTCTTCTTGCATCCTAATCATATCATGCTGCCGCCTTACAGCACAAGACTAAAGCACCAACGGAGGAACTCTTCAATCAACCGCTTTTATATACCAGGAGTATTTTTTTACGCTACTTCAATGTGTTCTCCAATGTCCTCTTGTTGAACCGCGATCCGCCAATCGATCCCCGCATCCTCGCCTTTTTTCTTTTCTTTTTTTCTTAAAATGACACAAGCCTGAGTAAAATTATTTACGACTCCTCCGCCTCGTCTCTTTGAACGGTACCTGCTGATTACTGCTGCTGGCAAACAACGCATTCACTTGTCTGCGCACACCTGCTGTGGTACGCTCTAGGATCCACGAATAGCTGCTGTTGTTATGTTTCAGTTGGAATGAATGTTGGAATTAGTTGTTGAGACAACCCGTCGTGTCGTGCGTGTGCCCCGTGCTTGTACCTCTGTAGCTCTCATGGTGTCAGAAAGGGAACATGCACGCAAAGTACCGAGCGTGCCTGAACACAACGTGGCGGTGCTCCACGCAGAACTGCAATAGGCAACCCCAACCCAAACCCCCACCCACAGAAAAAACATGGGGGAGGGGGCAAGCAAGTGCTCGACCGTTCAAGTTGAATGTACGACCGGTATATAATATTGTACGGCACGACGGAACAATCGACCACCTGCTCTCTCTCTTTTTTTATTTTTCTGCCTCTTGCAGGTGCATTGTACAGGTGCGGCTGTGCAGGTGTAATCTTTCGGCCCACTGGATACGTATGCTGCTGCTGCTGCAGCCCCCGCCCCTCACACACACAACAACCAACCGGGAGCAACCAGATTCTCAACAGCAAGGGGCAGCGGCGCGGCAGAGGTCGAGAGTATTGTGGAGGCCTGACTCTGGCTCGAGCTCGCCGGTGCCCAGCAGCCCGGCGCCGTTGTTGCAATCGGTGTTGGGTGCAGCGGGATCTTCACGCTGCCGCTCTTTTTGGGGTCGAGCTCTACTGCTGTAGCTCTGCACATCAAGAAGGGGGCAGAGCTAGGTCGTCGGATCGTCAGAGCAGGTGCGTGAAGCGAGGAGGGCTAAGGGGTAGCGGAGGGTAAAATTCCTTGCGTGTTTGCGTGGGGCGCCCACCGATGCCGGGCGCGGTGTTGCGTTGTTGCTACAGCCTGCGCTCACACCAGGTTCATAAATAATGAAATGAAAAATGGCGTGGTGCCACAGGGTGCCATCGAAAATCCATGGCTGGAATCCTGCGACAGTGCCTACTGCTGTAGCTGCTGCTGCAAGCCGGCCTGACAGATGAAGGATATAGAGGCAAGAGAGGCCACGAGAGTTAGCTCTCCTGCTGCGATCTCCCAGTGATGAGCGCTAGTCCAAGTCAAACGATATCCGGCCGGCCGCAGATTGCAACGCCCACGCTCTTTCTCTACGTTTATTTGTCCCTCCGATCGATGCGGCGTTCCGTGCGGCAACAGAAAAAGGTTGTGGTCATCTCTCGTGATCTTTTTTAGTGTGCTGAGGAGATCTGGCTCTCGCGAACAACCCAGTCCCGGTAGTACTTGATTTGTCTCATGGTGATGGATTCTAGGCCTTGTACCTATCGCAAGTGTGTGCTCACGAAGGGGAGAGGGGTTCCGCTTCTTCCGCCACACGTGTCGCGGTTGTCTGTCTGTTGTGTCTCTGGCCACCATTGATATTTTCATCGCACCAGCGAAAAGTGGAAAGACTTCTTCAGTCGTGCGCGGCAATTCACACACAATTTGCTGGCAAATGAGTGCACTCATCCGACAGACATGTCACCACCGGACGCAAGGGGGAGCACGCCGCTCTATGCATACTCCGTATCTAATCGTGTCTCTTAGGTAGCAACCCTGTCCCGCGTTCATAACATGGGGGCCAAGCTTTACCTGGGACAGCAGGCGGATGTATATCTTCGATCGGTGCGGTGAGGTATTTAAACAGCAGCAGCAGCAGTGGCAGGCGGCTACAAAGTATGCAATGATTGACCTGATCTACCGCTTCATTCAGCGGTACCAAGTAATCTACATATATTCTGGAGCGATATGTAATGTAGAGAGAGCAGTGGACCAAAGGCCTTCATGCATGTCTGATCGACCTGGTGCTTGCCATCAAGCAGTCGACGCTTCCTGCAAACAAACCTCTATGTAGGTGCCTGACTGTTAGAGTGCCGGCATCCGTCGCGTGCAACTACCTTCACAAAAAAATAAATGCGAAGCGATCCTCCCGTCCATGAAAAAAAATGATCTCGGCGAGGTGATGATGTGATGACGAAACAATAGAGAGGGTGTCTAATTAGCTGCATACCTTCCTTGCGCTTTCATTTGCTCTCTGAAACTAACTGCTGCTGCTGTGTGCGCGCTATACACACGTACAGGAGCTATTTGTGCACCTCAAGACGGACACAGTCGTCATGGCATCCTCCTCTTCCCCCGACACCACCCACGGCGGCGGAGGGGCTGCTTCTGGTGGTGCACCGCCTTCTTCACGGCCATTCATGGAGGCGGAACTAAGGCAGGGGCTTTATCTATTTTATTTTTCAATGACCTGATGATTAATTATTTGTTGTCTTTTTGTTGTGTTCCCTTCCAATAAAGTTGTTTCAGGCGATTAAAACATACGTAAAAACTTTAAACTGCTGCTGCTGCTGCTGTGACCCTGTTTTGAAGAAAATTTAGTGAAAAAGGCGCCTCATGTGGTGCACCATGAGAAAAATGTCACCGTGTGCCATCCATCCATCCATCCATCCATGTGAGGCACCATGAGGAATGAATGAGGAACCATGACGGCCCGTTAAATTATCTCCCTCGCAACATGAAATAATGTGTCATGTTTTTTTCATAGTGTGTGTGTCGCTGATTTGTGGGCCAAGGTAATATTATATGTGGTACATATTTATATGCATACATACCCCGAAATGTTTCATGAAGTTCATCCAATCATAGTGATGAATTCAACTTATTCCCCTATTTTCGACAAGGAAGGAAAGGAAGGGTAAAAAGAAAAGAAAAGCTGGGACTGACTGCTGTCTGTATGGCCTATGCCGACCGCGTCATTATTCGATGTAGTAGATGAATGTATGATGGTTGCATCGTTGTGCACACCATGTCAATAATCGACAACCAATCAAGGAAAACAACGCAACAAAGACGGAGTGAATTACTCATCATGGTGGTAAGCGATGATCTACAATGAAAGGTGAAAACATTTTTGAAGGTAGGTGGAAGGTGGTGCACTGTATGGATAGGACTCGATGATGCTACGCCGTGCAAATCTCGAGAGAGAGAGGTAATTCTCAATCTTTCCTCACGGCCCTCATGGGATCGAGACTACGCATGATGCATGATCATTTTGTATTTTGTTGCCGCGGATCTCATGATGCATCATCATCGCGTGTGGTGCACCGTTCCCTCGTGTCGCACACTATATATAGTAGTAGTCCCTTGTGTTTTTTCTAAAAAAAGTTCGTGAGGACCTTGACGCGCCATGAGACCAAGCGAGCATGCATGCATGCATATCATGTTTTCCCTTAACCCTAAGCAATATATATTTGATGAGAGTAGTCAAAGAATTCACAATTAGTTATTCTTCAATGAATGGTGTCAGTCCTCATCGTGCTCCGTGACATTTTCATGAAACACGTCAGGAGACCTTACGGTGCATTATGAGGTCTCATGGTGCCCCATGCTTTTCAACTGTTCTTAATATTGTTTTTTTTCTTATTTCTTTTTCATAATATTATGTGATCCCATGATGCATCATGTCCATGATGCACTAATGCTGTGAAATCCAGGAGAAAGTCTCCGGAGTCTCAAGAGAAATCTCATGGTGAATATCGAGAATTTTTTTAGACGAACGGTATCATCTCGCGATGATGGTTGTATTCTCTCCTTCGGAAAATATTATTTAATGGCAGCATGGGATGATGTGGCGAGGCCTCCTGCGGCAGCAGGCGACCCCGCCCAAACTTCGTTAGGTTGTCTATATTTTTGTGGCCATCGGCCGGGTCTGCATTGAATTGAGACACCCAAAACTTGGGGGTTGGTACCGTTTTCGGGTATGCATATGCACGCCAACTAAATATCGCCTCAAAGTCCGGCGACAAGGGATTATCATGATGCATCATGATCCTCCATGATGAACTACAGTACTCCACTCCACTGAGAAAAATCTCCGGGGTGTCAAAAGAGAGTTCTTTCGTATGGTGAGAAACTCATTCTATTGTAATGGCATCTCTTGACGCGATCTATACCCTTCCTCGGACTGGACCATTTATACATTGCGCAAGTATTATATTTGGCGAGGCCTCCTGTGGTGGCCGGTGAC